TCAGTACAGCAGAGGCTCCTTCTAACTCACTCCCAAGCCCTGTCGGGTTGGGCATCTAAAAAGAGGAGCAATAGAGATGACTGAGCTCCCGAGCACCAGCCGGCGAAAACTCCCCGGGTCCCCCAGCCTGGAGTGCGGCAGTGGGTGGGCTACGATGGCCCCACTGCCCCTCTCTCATATCTACCACAGAACCTCACATGGCCCAGGCCGCCCAGCCGCCAGCAGCATGGCCTCCTCACCCCACTCTCCAGCCTGAGAGGGGCGGGACCCTCAGGTACGCGACCCCGGGAGGAACCCCCATGCACAGGTGGGAGAACCGTGGAGGGTGGGCCACGCTTCTTCCGTAATACCTGTCCGCACAAGGCAACCTGGAGGCCACCCGTGCTCCCTGCTCAGGGCGCCCACCAGCCAGGGCTGGGGTCACGGACACTGCTCTACACACAGACTGAGGTCCAAGAAGTGCTGATGAACATCTGGAAGAGCTAGAGCTGGGACGTTGTCTGAAGTGCCCAGGGCCCAACTTTCCCTATGCGCTTCCCTGCTCTGGTGAGACCCACCCACGGTCCACACGCCCCTGGGAGCACCCCCTCCACGAGGCCTCAGGGCACCGTGCACTCTCCTCCCTGCCCGCTTCCAGCAGCTCCGAGCAAAGCCGGATTAGGCTCACCGCCAGTTTACAGGACTCCGGCCCCAGCTCCCCTGGGCCCCCCGGGGCTCCCACCTCCTCCCAGGCCTGAGCGCACATCCCTGTGTCAGCCCGGCCCAGACACGGGACATGGCTCTTCCGCTCACACGCTGGCCCTGCGGCCTGGGTCCCTGAGGCAGACACTGTGGGGACAGAAGGGTCCAGGCTTACCCAAAGCTCCTCGGTGCAGAGGGGAGGGCATTAGCCACGTGAACTGTGAAATATGGGTCAGGATCTATTTCTCCAGCAACAGAACAAACACATAAACATTCTCTGAGATGTATCAACAACCACACGTGTAAGGAGTGTGTGCTCCACACCTGTGTTCCCAGGTTCCCAAGGGACCGCACAGGGCTCCCAGCCTGTGGCTCCCCTCCACCGGGACAAGCAGTCCCTGCCTGCATTTACAAAGTCTCCTGTCAGGGTCCCCAGAACAAGCTGACACGAGAGATGGGGCCTTCCCCATCCTACCCGCCTGCTCAAGGGGTGGAAAGCTCACACTCCAGTCACTCTGAGGGGAAAAAAATAAAGGAAAAAGATGGAAGAAAAGACAGGGAAAGAGCTTTGGGATCCCTGGGTTCCCCTTTAGGAGGGCAGGGTGGCTCCATCATCCTGGGACAGGTGGCCTGAAGGTCCCCTCCCAGGGTGGAGAGCAGTGGAGTTGGGTGTCAACCCTGCCTCGTCTGTGGGTCTGGCCAAGCGGGCTGAGGTCCACGCAGGGTGCAGCTCCTGAGCAGGGCCTGGGCTGCAGTGGCCAAGAGCCCCACGGGTGAGTGTGCCAGGGCTGTCGGGCCCGCGTGACTCAGCAGAGATGCTTCCATCTGCTGACTTCTGGCCCCGTGACTCTGACTTGGGCGCCCTTCTCAGGATGGAGAACACACAGATTCCCCTCTTCTACAAGAGGAAAAGCGAGGTAAGCCAGGCCAGGAAGGAAAGGAACAGTATAAAACCCTCCGCCAAAGGCCATTTGACCCGATGTTGGAGCTGGCAGGGAGGCAACTTGACATCTTCCACACCAACCTGACATTCCAACCCTCGATCCTGGAGGGAGGGGCTGCCCCCATTCTCCCAAGCCAGCAGGCACAGCCCGGGTTTTTCTCTTCCTGGTGGGGACATGCAGGCAGTACAAAGCCACTCAACCCCAGCTCTGGAGGCATTGTCACAGCTGATCGAAGCACTACCAGGTGGGGACAGGTGGGGGAGGGAAAGGCACCAGCCCATCCAGCGGTTCCACCGGTGCCTGGGAGCCTAAGTGGCTTTTCTCCAGGGGACAGGGAGGCAAATGTCTAGAGAAAGGGGTACACGCAGGGCAGTGTGCACACCTGGGTCTGTTCACTGGGGCACAGTCGGGTGAAAAACTGCAGCGAGGCCCAGTCCCATCTAGGGGATTCGAGGGCAGGTGCGTGAGGGCCCTAGCTCTTCCTGTGGTGCCCCTTCCCTCGTGGCATGCAGGCCCTCGGCGGCCTTATAAGGAATTTCGCGCTGCTACAAAGGACCGCAGGATACAGCACACAGATTCATCGTTTCAGGCAGGACCTACGATCTCCAGGCAGCCGGGCACGGGGTGGAGGCTTCAGGGAGCCCCCTCCTGCAGCCAGCAAGTGCTTCTCTCACCCTGATCCTAAGGGCAACTCTCCCTTCCTGGCAGAGCAACACTATGCTCATCTAGCCCTTGGATTCCAGTCCTTTCCATTAGGTCCACCCCTTGGTTCGGGTCAAAACCACACCCTCTGCTCAGCCGCCTCATTCCCTGCCAGGCTGAGAACAATGCCCTGTTGTTCACACAAATGTCCTGCAGTCCCCTCTGCCTCCTCACACCCACGTCCCTGGCCGGACCCCTGGAGCTGCCAGCCCACCTTGGGGCCTCCTCCATTCTCCATCCTCTGAATTTTCCAAAAGCTCCAAGCACCCAACACTTCGCTGCTTCTGGGCCCTCCCGCTGTCCACTTGGGTCGTGCTCACTGGGCGTTCACACTCCCCTCTGCCTGTCACTGTTCCTCTGTAAACAGAGGTGGCCCCAACCAGGAGCACCCCTTCCATGTTATTTCACATCAGCTCTTCTGGCCCCAAGCAGAGTGACACATGGCCACTGGTTTCTGCAGGTGTCTGTGCCAGGGTTCACCTGTTTTCCTGCACAGCGTCCCTTCACCCAACCCTGGGGCCCCCTCCCGGCACCCGTCAGCCGAGCCTGGAGGCCTGGTGTTTGCCCCTCCTCCCCTCTACCAACCACAAAGAGTTCTCTATAGTGGAGAAGAGAGGGGGTTGCACCCTGAGAGACCAGGGGAGAGGGGCATGGCCCGCCTGACTAACTGCAGAAATGGCTTTCTCCCATCCCGTAACCCCACCCCCATCCCCACCAGGGCCTCACCTGTGCGGGCACCGTGTCCCGAAGCCGCGCCTGTGACAGGGTGCCCGGGGCTCTGAGGCCCCAGCTTTCTGCTGGCTGTGCCAGGCCCCCAGGGTCACAGTCCTTGGGCAGCACTGGACTTGCCAAGGGAA